CTCGGCGGATCCACACGGGGCTGCGTTGGTCACCAACAGTGTCCGATAAATGATTCACCTGTCAGTCCATAGGAATTCAATAATTCAGTAATAACCCAGTGCGCTGGTGGACTTCACTGTGGGACTACGAGACGTTAACGGTTCGGTTATGTGCACTGTTCAACCACATCAGAAGGGATTAGTGTTAGTAGATGAATGGAATGAAAAGATCATAGAGAGGAAGCTCTGGTGTGAGACTCATCTACGCACATGAAACCAGTCAGAAAAGCTGCATTGGTACAAAAAAACAAGTTACTTTCTCCATTAATCTCAGCTCCTTTCTCACCTCTGCACTGCAGGCCAATCATGAGTGGGCGTGAATGTCAGATCGTCTGTCTGAGAAAGTTACAGAAACTGTCGAACGTCGGTTATATAAAGTTATACAAAATAATCTCCTTCTTAAAGAGGCTTTAAGTGTTCAGGCTAAACAGCAGCATGTCTGGAGAATTCAAAAACAACACGTGAATGAGGAGCAGCGACGGCGACGCTTCATGTGAAATGAGCTGCAAAAGGTTTAGCAGACAGACAGACACTGGAGCAGCTTGTTTATTTCCTGGTAATCCTTCAGCTTCGGATGCTCGGTGGTGCTGGAGGAGTTTCACTTTAATATTACTACACCTGCACCTACAGTCGTCCTCACATTTATTAAAGAAAAGGCAGAATTCACAACAGTCACTCAAATAACTAGAAACTGGAAAAAGTGATAATAAATCAAAATTTGCTAGATTATAATTTAGTGAAATAAGATGTTGCTTTTGAATTCTGGTTGAAAAGAATAATTTAAAAAAATAAATAAAAATAAAAACTGTCCCGGGCAAATTAGAGCACTTCGCTGATGAGCAGTGAAATCCAAACACTTGTCAACAGGTGCAGAAGTCTGACTGAGAGTTACAGAAAACACCGGATGGCAGTGATTGGCTCAAAGGGTTGTTCAACTAGTTTACAGGTCCCATCATGCTTGTTTTGTTTTTTTCTTTTTTAATTTTCTTTTTTAATATTTCTGTTGAACCACAATTCAAAACTCCTGTCATGATTTTTCTTAAATTTTTATTTATTAATACTTTTGTCAATTTCAACGTATTTCAGCTGTTTATTTCCTTCTTTAATGGGAGGGTATGAATACATCTGAGGACCACTATAATATACTTGCAGCCTTTGCAAGTGGAAACATACGCTGTTAATTAAAAAAGCTTTATTCGCTTTCTTGTACAAGTGCTTCTGCATTATTTTACTCATCTTCGCTCGCTCTTGTAAACCTGAACGTACAGCAGACTTAATGCTGCTTTGAAGTCGATTCTCCGGTTGCCTTCTTGCCAACAGCGAACCCGCAGTGAGCAGAGACACTGAGTCAGACCAATTGGTAATGTCTCCCCAGCTTCACTTCACGCTGAAGATCTAAAGCCTTCAGTCTGCAGCACTTAAGGAGCCCATATTATCTTCTCTTCACTGTGTTAGATGGCTGATTTTTGCGCATGTAAAAGCTCTTTAAACTTACAAGGAGAGTAATTCTCTCCTGAAATGCCTCGTTTAAGGTTCAGGCTCTTGTGTCACCATGTAACACGCTTACACGACGCCCGCTGGTGGCTAGTTCGGCCTTCAAACAAAGAATGAGCATCTTTCTCGCGGTCTGCCACTATTTCCTCACTTCAGCCGCTTCTGCTAAAGGCGTCTGTCCTCATCGATGTCGGGTTGTGGTGGGTAATGAACTTTAGTTAGTCCAGCTGACCGGTCAGAGCAGACAGCTCTTCCTGGAAAGGGAGCTTTAAAGAGACAGGAGCTAAAACGGAGCCTTACAGAGAGGCGCTGCATTAACGTACAGAATGAGGAACTT